CACAGCAGCAGCTCCATAAAGAGGCATTGTGGTCGGGCTGATAGAATGGCTCATATGTGAGCACTTCCTTAGCGTGTGTAAGGACCTGGGCTACATCCCTCCTCTTCCTAGTTCTTTCTTCTCCTCCTACACTTCCTTGTCTTCTCATTAGTATTACAGTTTAGTGACTGTAACTTTGAAAAAGAAGTATGAAAAGAGGTATTTGCCAAGTGCTGGCTGTGTGCCTGCTTTGCGGCTGTTCCTGTAACATGCCTGCTCTCTAAGGCAGGTCAGCCTAGGCCTTCACCTAGGCTGTCTGCAGGTTCTTGGTCTCCCTGATGTGCATCGCAAGGACAGTTTATTCTCCCATCACTCTAGTTCAAAAGAGAAGGAGAAAGTTCCAGTGCCATTTTGACTGGGATCATTTCTTTTAGGGTCTGGCCAAGTCTTCCCTTTTCAAGATCAAGGTAAGATCCAAAGAAAGGTAGTTCCTGCTCAGTGTGGGAGGGCAGGTGTGCGGGTGTGTCCTGGATGGAAGGTGGCAAGGGACCTGTCCAGACACTGGCCCCTGCCAGACTCCATATAAGCCTTTTATTGCTTTACTTTGGCAACCTCCTTTCTTCCTTCCACCAAATGACAATGACTGATCCAGCCCTTTTCTCTCCCTCCCTCCCTCCTTTTGAGATGGGATTTCTTCTGTTCCAGGCTGGCCTTGAACTTGCTGTGTAACTGAGGATGACCTTAAATATCTGATCCTCCAGCCTCCATCGCCTGAGTGTTTTATTGTGGGCTTATGCTTTCAACGCTTTTTGATGCACTATTGGGGTGCAAACCCAGGTCTTCATGCATGGTAGGCGAATACTATGGGCCTTTTGTCCTCACTGTGTGGAGGGGAGATTGAGGCCTCTCGGATGACGGTGCTGGGCTGAGCTGGCTCTGGTGGCCTTCAGGGCCCTGTGTATGGACACTTTTTGGCTGAGGGTTGTCGGAGGGCAGAGTCGAGGGCCTTCAGGACTTTCTGGTTGTGGTGGCACAGACCTCCAGACATCCAGCAGGAGTGATGGAGTCCTCTTGCCATTCACATGGAGTACTGGGGGACTCCAGGTCTTGGGAGAGGTTTCTGGGGCCTTAGGCAAGTTAGAATTTGAGTCGAGTGCTTCAGGAATATTACCAGGCACCATTTATGAAGTACAGTAACTGGTGAGTGTTTGAGGATGCTTGTTGGTAGCTGGCATTGCATTCTCCAGTTGAGGACCAAAGGCTCAGAGAAGGAAACTCTTGGCCCACAGTCACACGGGACATTGGGGTTTAAGCCTTTCTATTCTATTTCAGCTTCCTAAAGTCCTGAGCAGCTGGTTTAATGTCCTTCCATTGGACAGAAGACTTTGGTGAAGGGAGGGCACGGGGTGGCAGTGAGGTAGGAATAAGTTTATGAGTATTTTAAGCTGTTTTTGAGATTCTGTTGAGAGACAGAAGGTAGAGTGCTGGTTGTTTGGATTTTCTTTTAGAGTCCTATGCTGTCAGTGTGGCAGCTGTCAGCCATCTAAACTTTAAAATAAAATTTTTACTACTCAGCTGTTCCAAGTGCTTCAGAAGCCCCAGATTGGCCTATGAGCAATGTGGTGGGGGCATTTTCTTGATGAATGATTAATATGAAAGGGCCTGGCCCACTGTGGGTGGTGCCATCCCTGGGCATATTGTCCTGGGTTATTTAAGAAAGCAAGCTGGGTGAACTGTGGAGTGCAAATCACCCAGTAGCACTTCTCCATGGCCTCTGCTTCAGTTCCTGCCTCCAGGTTTCTGCCTTGAGTTGCTACTGTGGTTTTTCTTATGATGGAGGCTGGGAGATGAAATCACCCTGCCCCCGCCCCCAGGTCACTTTTGGTTGTGATGTTTTATCACAGCGATAAAAACTAAACTAAGACAGTTGTGTCATCTGTAAAAGTGTACCAAAGGAGTTTAAGTTGTAAATCTCTCTAAATTCCATGATTCAGAGATGAGAACGTGCAAAGTTAAGGTGTATTTGCATACAGTTTGTTTCTCCTCTGCTTGTTGGGGCCATTCCATATGCACTTTTTATATCCTACGTTTCATTGTTGTATGAGAAATTGTGAAGACCAGTCAGTGCACAGACAGGCTGGAAAATCAAAGATGACAAGGTTTAGGGCTTCACTAGTCAGGAAAATGCTTGTTGGGTGTGAGTGCTGGACAGCGAGCTGGCGGGGGACAGGGAGGTGTATGGTGGGAGATGCAGGAGTAGGAGCTGAGGGGTTATTGGCTTTCCAGTGGAGGCTGGAAGGTTAAATACTGAAAGGTGATGGCTGCTTTGATGGAAGAGAGTGCTGTCCCCATAGTGAAGACAGAAGACACAGGATGAGGGCAGCAGAGCTGTGCAATCAAGATCAGCATTCTTCAGTAAGCTTGCCGTGTGAGTTGTCAAGTAAAGCTCAGCTTCCCTTTTCTTAAATCGTAACTCTCTGGGTGTATCAGAGACAGCTTGAATCATTGAGACTGTTGGAGGGGTGCCATAAATAAAAAAATCCTTATAATAATGCTGAGTTGCTTTTGGCCTTTTAAACCTTTACTTTCACTGTCTGATGGGCATGCATGTTATGGTTTGCATTAGAAGTGTTCCCCATAAGGCTTGTGTTTTATACACTTCTTCTCCAGCTGGTGGTGCTATTTTGGGAAGCTGTGCAACTTTTAGGAGGTGAGGCCTAGGTGCTGGTAGTGGGTCACTAGGAGTAGGCCTTTACAGCCCTTAACTGATGTTCATCTATGCCCTTTATGACGTGATAGACTGAGACCCTCTGAAACCATAAATGGAAGGAAACTTTCTTAATCTGTGTCAGGTATGTTGGTCACAGAGGCTAAAAAAGAGATTAAAACAGAGGCTGTTTTCTGGTGTTTGTCCTCATTTTTATTTCATAAACATATAGGGGAATTTTCCAGAAGCACACATGTATGATATTGTCCTGGCTCTGTAGGCTGTTCTTTGCATTCTGTTTACATAAATAATGAGAACTCTTATTGGAGGGTCAAAGAGATGGGTCAAGTTGGGAAAGCCCTTGCTGAGCCTAGCAACGCTAATAAGCTCCAGCTTCAGTGAGAGGCTCCATCTCAAAAACCAGGTGGGATGCAATCAAGGGAGACCTGGACAGTAGCCTCCTCTGTCCTTTACATGTGCACACGTAATCACATTCACTAGTACACGATCGTGTACTTGTGACACACACGTAAGACTTGTTAGGGCTCCTGAGTAATTTTTAAGAGTATAAAAAGGTCCTAAAATCATGACATCTGAGACCTGGCACCGGGAGATAGTGTTGCTAGGTTGTTGGAAAGATGAAGTAATAAGTGTGTTTGGCACACCCCCATACGTGTGCTGACCTGCCAGTAAGCCCTAGCTGCTGCTGTTTCTCATAAATTCAGTCATCACATAGGGAGGCAGCAGTGACCTTAGCTGGCTATTTTTATGTCAGCTTGACACATGCTAGAGTCATCTGAGAGGAGGGCATCTCGTAGGCAAGCTTGTAAAGCATTTCTTCATTAGTGATTGATAGGGGTGGGGCCAGCACATCGTGGGTGGTTCCATCCCTGGGCTGGTGGTCCTGGTTCTATAAGAAAGTAGGCTGAGCAAGCCAGGGGAAGCAAGCCAGTAAGCAGAACCTGCATCAGCCGGTGTCTCCAGGTTCTTACCTTGCTTGATTTCCTGTCCTGACTTCCTTCAGTGATGGACTATGGTGTGGAGTAATGCAAATAAACCCTTTCCTCCCAAATTTGCTTTTGGTTATGGTGTTCTGTTGTCATGATACTAGCTCTAACTAAGACAGAACACCTATGGAGGGAGAAGGGCTGTGAAGAGAGGCAGGGGATAACAGGGGAGTTGACTGTCCAGCCAAGTCTTGGGTTGAGTCTGGGTTGGAGATTAGTTCACCAGCCTTGGACAGCTGTGCAGGTCTAGACCATGTCCGTGCTGTAGGGGCTGTCTGAGTTGAGAGGTGAAGGGGCTGCTGTGGCTGCAGGCATCTGTTGGGGTATGGTGAGCCACAGAGGCTTGGATCTGCCACCTTCATTCCAGTTAATGGGGAGAAGGAAGGCAGAAAGGGGGAGAGGAGTAAGGAAGAGAAGGACTGGGAAGTGAAGGTGGCTGAGGAACAGAAGAAGAGGTAAGGAGAGATGGAGGGGTCATGAAGAGAAGGACTGGGGCATGGCAGCTGGGTTCCTGTTCCCTGGCTGGTTCTGAAGCTCCCCCTCCTTCTCTGAGGCTGCAGGTGTGGCAGAGTAGAGGCGTTTGTTAAAAAAAAAAAAAAAAAAAAAAAAAAAAGAAGGAAGAAAGAGAAAGAAAAGGAGAAGAATTCAGTGTGGAGCTGTGGGTCCAGTCACACGAAGGAGGATAAAGGGGCAGAGAGAACTCAGGGCCTTGTGGGTAGAGAGAGAGGTTTCTAGGTGGTACATGGGAGAGCCAGCATGTTTCCCCGGTGCTTCTGTGGCTACGGTGCGACTGTTGCTGACTCCTTGGAGCACATGATAATCTTTTCTTTGCCTTAGGTGAGCAGTGGTGTGATATAGTTCAGAAATAGCATAGTATTCTTAAGCTCATGGAGCACCAGTATTTTAAAAATGTTCTTTGAAGACTTAGAATATTTTCTAAACATACTTGGGGTTACATTTTACTGCATACAGATTGTGCGTATGTGTGTGTGAGAGAAGGGCATGTTCAGTGAGAGAACAAACCAGGGAGAGAGAATCTGCATGTCTGTCTTTCTGTCAGGAAAAGAGGGGAGGGGTTGTGTAGAATCACCTGATGTCAAGAGGTTGAGTTTGAGGTTGGTTTGTGTTAGGTACCATTAGTTTATTATTATTTTCTCAAGTTGTTTTAATAGCCTTTTACTGTTTTTCAGGCTCTTGTATGGAGATACAGCCTCACTGACACCCATGAAAAGAGCATGTTAATTCTACTTATTCCTGCATCCCGAGGGAGGCTGTGGCAGTGCTGTGTAAGATCCGGCTCTTGCTGGCCACTGAGACTTGGGTTCATTCCTGGCTTTGATGCCTCTGTCAAGCTCAAGTGATAAAAAAGTAGGCAAAGGAAGAATCCATCATGGGAAGTCAGTCATGGCTTGCTAGGATTTTGCCACCTATTCCTGACAGGTAGAGAGCAAGGCCCCAAACTTCCCTTCACTCCTTTGCTGTTGTTGGCCTGAGCCACTTGTGAGCCTGTGTCTTCCATCAGTAACTGCATTTATTATTCATTGTTGTTGCCCAGAAGAGGGGAAGTGTGTTTCTATGATCAGCAGTCTGTCTATTCATAAGCAATTGGAGTCCATGTCAGTGAGGTGTGTGGAATTTAGAGTACTGTGAGAAGTTAGGGCTTTTACTAACTTCTTCAATGGTCTTTAGAGTGGACTATTTCTGCTCACTCCCTCATTTGCTGGGAGTTCTAAAGCCTGCATCTCTATTATCATATGAAATCCTTAACAACAATCTTGTCATTAGCTCAGACTTAGAAAGGTGAGGATCAGAGTGGGATCCCGACTCAAAGATGCCACTCAACCAGGAAGCTGTTATCACATCACACTGGATTTCTGGCTTCGTAACAGTTACTGTCTTCTGAATTTTGCATGCCCATGTGTGGTGCATTCTTGATGCCTGTCCCTCCTTTATGTGAGCTTCACAAGAACCAGGAGCCATATGGGTCTTTTTTTCATTTCCTCAGGGCTTACAAAATGTGCCAGCAGACCGGGACACTCAGGAAATGTTTGTTGCATTAATGACAGCTCCTTTCTATCTCTGTACGTCTTAACCCAGTGTGAATGCCTGTAGGAAACCAGGGGTCTATACCTTCTGTCTTTGTAGATCGCTTATGATGGCTGTGAGAGAAGGGACTCTTAGCATTCTTCTCGGTGTTCAAGGAGTGTGAGAGGGGCCTGGCTAAAGGATGGCAGCTCTCACAGCCTCACCACTAGTTAAATGTGTTACATGAAGTTTGCATAGCTGCTTGCATGCCTTAACTGTTAAGGTCAGAAAACTGGAAGTACAGTGTGCGCTGTGCTTAAATGAAACATAGCTTATGGGATTGCACACTCCCTTGTCTTTTCCTTAGGAAAAGTCTTTTGTTTTTTGAAAAGTTTTTGTTCTTTTGAAAAAACAAAAAGTGCTTTTGTTGTTTTTAAAGTGTTGTTTTATTTTTGACTTAAAGTCTTAAGCATGCACTCTTCACTTCTGCACTTACCTTCCCTCTAATGTTATCATCTCACATGGGACAGTGATCAAAGCCGGGAGACTCATCCTGGCACAGTGCTGCCGAGTAGATGTTTGTGTTTCACTGGCTTCCTTACACTTCCTGGTCTACCATGCAGTTCAGAACTTACTTGCTCTGTAGTTGGCATCTTTCCAAAAACTGGCTGTGGGCAGTTTTTCAGGCTTCCCTTATTTTTCATGACCTGATGTTTTCTTAATTTTTTATGAGGATTAAATTCTTTTTTGAGAATTTCATACCCAAGTACAATGCATTTGATCCTGTTTCTTTACCTTTCCTCCTATTCTAACTCCTCCTGAGTCTCCATACACCCTCTCTCAAATGCAAATTCATGTCTTTTTGTTAATCTCACACTTGCATGAGATTAACACACACACACACACACACACACACACACACACGTGAAACCAACTGAGTCCAAGTAGACTTGCCAATATACACAGAAGTATAGGACTGACCACTGGGCTATGGGCAATCTGTCAGAGGCTTGTCCCTGAAGACTTTTTTTTTTTTTAGTATCCATGGCTGCCTGTGTGTCCTCAGTTAGGAGTGGGACTTTGTGAGTCCTTCTCCCATCCATGCTGGAATGCTGATGGTCTAGTACAGGCCTTGTACAGGCAGCCATACTGCTGAGATCTCATGTGAGTGCCCAGTCAACATCCAGAAGACGTGTTCCCAGACGCCCTCCGGCTTTCTAGTCTCTTGGGTGTGCTGGGCCTGGGTGTCCGGGCTGTGCTACGCACATCTTGATTGGGGATGGCCGCCCGCAGACATCGTGCGCTGTGCTTGCGCCGGTTGCTGGCTCGGATAATTCTGCCCACTGCAACAAGAAGCTTCTTTGCCGCAGGGTGAGAGCGGCAGTAAGCTGTGGGGTGAGTATTTAGAAGCTTTTGGAGAGGCTGTGAGCTCTCGAAATGACGGTGCTAAGCCATCCTCTGCGTCTGTGAGCACCCCAGCTGCAGGTTCTTAGAGCACCTTTGTACTTTAATTAAGGGCAGTTAATTGTTGGAATGATCCCCAATTTGGGTTTTGGTGATTTTTTTTTTTTAATGATTAACTTGAATTAATGTGTTTTGGCAAAAGCACCACATCAGTGATTTTGTACTTTTCCTGTGGTATATGTGAAGTCTGCACATCAGTCTCTCTTATTACTGGTAATGCTGACTTTGTTTCTTGAGACAAGGCTTCTCTGTGTTGCTTGCTGTCCTGGACTCCATTTGTAGACCAGGCTGACCTCAAACTTACAGAGATCCACCTGCCTCTGTCTCCCTGAGTGCTGGGATTACAGGCGAGCACCACCACGCCTGTGTGATAATGCTGACTTTGATTACCTAGTTAACACAATATCTGTTTGGTCTCTGCACTGGTAATGTTTCATTTTATTTTATTTTGTAATTAGTAAATATCTTGAGAGAGATGCTTCTTTGTGAAAGGGCTTTGACCAGTTAAGAATTCCACCTAGTCCCCACAAAGGAATGCACGTCAGATCTGATAAAGTCGTTGTGATTATCACGTTCAGTCCCGGCATTCCTCTGTTCTGAATGGAGAAGGAATTTCATGTTCTTGGAAATGAAAGACACTTGGATTTTGGAAGGCTGCTGCCGATTGTTTAGAACTATATGCTTGTGATAGGTCTATGACAAGGTATTTCCCAGTTCAGCGCACGCTGCTATTTTCTTCTCTCAACTATGAGAGAGAGAGACAGAGAGAGACGCACATAGACAGAGACCCGTTACTTACTAAACGAGTTCTGTGGCCCATGTGCTGGGAAACACAAGTGTGGTGAAGTTACTGTCCCGAGAAGCTGAGGACGCGTGAACTTTGAATGTGACAGAGTGCGACAACCCGCTGTCATCTGGTGAATGTCGCCTCTCCTTCACTGGGGAGGCTGGCCTGAGCTGAGGTGGAGTGACAGGAGCTCAGGACTCAGAGCTGCCACAGGGCTGCCCCCCGAGCTTGCTTCCCCTGGCCCGGTGAGGTCTTCCACAGTGCACCTGCTGATTCTCATTATCAGAGTCTCAGCCTGGGGCACAAGTAAATGACTCCGTGAGCTCCCTGTGAAGGGGGCTTGAGGCCTTAGGACACTTGTAAGAGAAAGTGATTTAAGGTGATGAAGACAAGCTTAAAAGTGAAAAACGCTGTTGAGACAAACCTTTGAAAAGTACATTCTGGGCTGTGAGATGGCTGTGTAGTTAAACGTACTTGCCACCAAGCCTGACTGAGGTGGATCTCTGGGACCCGAGTGGTGGAGGCAGAGAAGTGACTGGAGAGTTCTGTGACCCCCACATGCTTATGGTAGCCATGCATGTATCTGCCTACATAAATAACATGCTAGAAAAAAATAGTTGATTTTGGTCTTTTCCCCCCTTTCTAAGGATTTTGTCCTCATGTGAGCTTTTGTGATTTGATCAAATAGGACAACTGGTAGAACATTGTTAGTAGGTGTGGTTGGTTCCCACAGAACATGACTTAAATAATATGCTTTTCTTTTCGGAAAGATTTTTAGCTCTTCGTTTTGAAATATTGTTAAAAATAGCAGAATTCTCATTTGTGATTTGTAACACAGTAGCATTAGGATCAAAACTAGGAAAGTAATGTTCTATTATTGATGATAGGAGTGCTTAGTTTACATTTCTCAGCTTGCCCAGGTCAGACCTTTATTTTGTCTAGGAATTAATCCAAGTTCCTATATTACATTTGGTTGTCGTGTAAAATATTTCCCTTTCCTGTTGTTTCTACCAACTTTGGGTGTCCTGGCATATGTTAAGGCTGAGAATGGATGTCGTTCCTCAGAATGGCTTTGTCCGTTCCGTAGATTGAGGACTGCCCTTCCTTTAATAGATGGTAGATATGTGATTTGAGCTGCTAACACCTTGGTTAACAAGCTGGTTCCATATATCAAGAAGTGAGGACTGTGGAGAGGGCTGGAGTTAAGCCAGCTGAGGAAGGACGTTCTCACTGGTGTGTCCAGGGATGGTGTTAGGCAGAATTAGGTAATTACAATGCAGAGGCCAAGCTCAGTGCCTTCAGGGGCCATGCAAACCTGGACTAGATCCCTATGAGAAACTGTGACAGAGGAGAAGCTTAATGGAACTGTTTCTTGTTTCACAGTTATAGAAGTTGAGGTCCATTTCTAACAAATTAGTTTCCACATTTGAATGTTTCTAGTATAAATATACTTTAATGTAAGCCTGCTGTTGTTATGATTCCTGGTCATCAGGTGTTTTTTCTTCCATCCCCTGAATCTTCCACTCTCTGGGTCCTCATTGTCGTTTCTGTGTAACTGGTGGGAAGATGCTGAAGGTATTGAGAGGCAGAGAAAGCACACCCACCTCTGGGCTGCTAGGATGTGGAGAACACACATGAGCATTCATGTTCCGTTGGTGGGAGCTGGTCACAAGACTGTCTATATCTGCATGCAGAGTGGGCAGGCAACACTGACTGTTACTGACTGCAGGCCCCTTTCTATTGACAGTTCCACACTGTAAAAGGGACATTGTGTTCTAAACCCAATGTTTAGAAGGATGATGTTTCTTTATTCCTCTCAATTCCATCTGCTGGAGGCATTCCTTCCCCAGATGTGCACATTATGCTCCTTTCCTCCTCAGAGTTGTGTTTAGATATCATTTCCTCATCATAAGATCTCTCAGTTTACTCATCAAAGGTACCATTCCCCAAACCTGGTGTTTTCTATCACCTTTGCTTTTCCTCGTGATAGCACTTGGCACAATTTGGCACCTTGCATATTTTCTGTAATGGTTTATTACCTGAATCCTCCAGGAGCATTGGGACTGTTTCCATCTTCCTGGATTGTGGTTCTTGAGCTTGGCATGTAAGCAGACGTTCACATTTTGAATGAAACTGGTAGTCGGGGCTATTGAAATCTCTGAAA